TCTATGGTTGAACGACCAGCAGAGAGGTGATACATAATGTAGTGGTTAGATAAAGACAAGCAGATTAATGGGAGGTAGGAAGGAAAGAAGTTCCAAGGATTGAGGTCCTTGGGAAAAAAGAGTTGAAATAGATTTTGGAATAAATATTGACGCAGTGCGTATGTAGATAAGAGATATTTGGAGCTTGGGAGGAACAACAGATTTTTCAATGTAGTAAATCTCATCAGAGGAAAGGAGCAATGACTATAGTACCATTGATAAAATGAAGGAAAACAAGAAAGATTGTAAAAAATAAAGATTGGAGGTTAGAAGGGGAAGTATTTCGCCCACAAATATACAGTCAATTCACTTTACAGTATGTTCTGTGAAGCGCTTTGGGACGTCCTCCCGACGTGAAAAGCGCTATATCAAATGCAAGGATTATTATTATTATTATTATTAAGGTAGTGATCTATCAGATCTGAAGCCTGTTCTTACACCTTTTTCAGGAATGCGAGAGGTGTTAGTACATCCCAGATATTGAAACAGTGTTTTGGATGCATTGGACTTCATATAGTTAATAATGCGTAAGAATATCTGAAATATTTGCAATGATTATATTCCTTGTAAAAACAAAACGCAAGATACTGCAGATGCTGGAAATCTGAAAAAAAAACAGAGGTCGCTGGAAACACCCAGCAGGTCAGGCAACATCTATGGAGAAAGGAAAGTGATTCAACGTTTCGTGTCCATGACCCTTCGTAAGAACCCTTTGTCAATGTTCTGACGAAGGGTCGTGGACCCGAAACATTGACTCACTTTCCTTTCTCCATTATATTCTTTGTATTTGATGTAACTCCTTAACATGTTGAAACATCTCAAGGTTTTCTGTAGTGACTTCAAAGTGTAGTGTTTGTACATTTGTTAGCAAATACGACAGTCAATACACACAATATCCTATGAACAGCTTTGTTTATTCTATGGACAGGTCAATATCTGGCAGTGGGACTATAGTGAATCAGAACTGAATTTCTTGGTAGGCATCTTTAACATTTAAGACATAAGAGTTCCATTTCTTCTCAAAGAAAATAGCAAAATCAAGAATCCAATGGCTGAAGAAAGACTAGAAATTAAGCCAAAAGGTAACGGTTACAATTTTTGCAAAAGCTACTTGCATTTGCAAGAGGCATGAAAATAATATCCTTGAAGACTTGAAAGAGGCGAGAATATCACTGTCCCCATCAAAGTCCAAGGAGATCAAGGTTTAGTTATTCAGTTAATGAACAGTGAAAGGAATATAGTTGTGTGCACTAAGGATATGTGATTTTAAAGAGGTTAGTAGAGTGGAATCAGTGAAGAGTGAACAGGATTAATTAATGATGAGTGCACAGTTGAAGCATCATGGAAGAGTTTTTTGACATAAGAATAAAGTATCATGGGAATGCACGTTTTACTAAGCAGTACAATGGAAAACTGCTGATCATTTGTAACTCTGTGTAACCTTTGCTGTTGGTAACCTAAGTGTCAGCATTCTTAATGAGTAATGTGTGAATGTGACTTGTAAATACTTTTGACATCCTTAACCATGTCCATTGTAATTGTGATGAAAAAAGTGTGTAACAGATGATCTGTACGAAAATAGGATCTGTAAGTAGATAGTCTTTGTATGTAGAGGTAAGATAAGGAAATGGTACAAATGTGTGTGATAACCAGATGGACTTCTGGTCATGGAACAATGCACAGATGGCTTTGTGATAATGACCAGAACAAGGAAAAGTAGAAAAACTTGTTTATTCATGGGTATAAATATAGGGCACTAATTAGCCCGAAGTCGGAACAGATCCTGGAAAGAAGAAGCTAACAAATAAAGAATACACAAAGAAAAGAAACGAAGACAAAGAAGAAAAGATAAAGCATAAGAACTCCTATAACTACTAATTCTGTTCTCCAGATTGGTAACTAAATCTTTCTATATCATGCACATTGCTCTGTGAGCTGTGAGCTTGATTATCTTGGTATCCGAAAATATATAATTAACCAATTGTAGTAAAAAAATTAATTAAATACAATTATATTCAGTGACCTGAATCTTTCCTCAAGACTGAAGATTCCCTAGTTTGACTAACCGGTGCTATTAGCTCATTCCTCTAACATTGGGGATCATTCTCAGTGCTCTCTTCTGTAATTGGGTCTCAACATTATTTTTCGTACAAAACTCAAATGCTGCAGATGCTGGAAATCTGAAAACAAAAACAGAAATCGCTGGGAACACTCAGCAGGTCAGGCAGCATCTATGGAGAAAGGAAAGTGAGTCAATGTTTTGGGTCCACAACCCTTCGTCAGAACTAAAGCATGTTGGGAAGGAGAGGCTTTTAAGAGTTAACAGAGAGGGGGGAAGTAGGACAAGGAAGACAAAGGAGAAAATGGGGTAGAAGATGACGGGTTAAAGAGGTGTTAATACTGCAGGACAAAGGGGGGGAAAGATTGTAACAAATTAGGCAGAAAGAGAGAGAATAAGTGTGTCTAGGACCAAGATGATGTGGTATTGGTCACAGAAGAGGGGAAGGGGGAATGTGAACTGTTATGGTCTGAAATTGTTGAAATCAATATTGAGGCCAGGAGGCTGTAAGGTCCCTAGCAGACAAATGAGGTGCTGTTCCTTGAGCTTGCCTTGTGGCTCATTGGAACAGTGTAGGAGACCGTGGATGGAGAGGTCAGAGTGCTAGTGGGAGGAAGAGTCGAAATGGCAAGAAACCAGAAGCTCAGGGTTGTGCTTGTGGACAGAACGGATCAGTCAAATCGGTCACCCAATCTATATTTCGTCTCCCCAATGTAGAGACGACCACATTGTGAGCAGCAAATGCAGTGAACTACATTGGTGGTAGTACACGTAAATCACTGTCTCACTTGAAATCTGTGTTTGGGATCCTGGACATTGTTATGGGAGGAGGTGAAAGGGTAGATATTGCATCTCCTGCGCTTGCATAGGAAGGTGCCAGGAGAGGAGAAGAACTGTTGGTGGTGATGGAGGAATGAACCAGGGAATCATGGAGGGAATGGTCTCTTCGGAATACTGAGAGGGGAGGGGAGGAAAAGATATGCTTAGTGGTTGGATCACGCAGGAAATGGCGGAGAATTATTTTTTGGATGTTGAGGCTGGCGGGGTGGAAAGTGAGGACTAGGGTACCCTATTATGGTTCTGGGAAGAGGGGGAAGGGGTGAGGGCAGAGTTGCGGGAAATAGGCGGACACGGTCAAGGGCCCTGTCCACCACAGTGGATGTGAATCCTCAGTTGAGGAAAAAGGAAGACATGTCAGCTGCTCCGGCGTGAAAGGTGGCATCGTCAGAGTAGATACGCTGGAGGTAGAGAAACTAGAAAAAGGGAATGGAGTCTTTACAGGAGGTGGGGTGGGAGGAGATGTGGTCCAGGTAGCTGTGGGAGTTGTTGGGCTTGTAAAGATATTTGTTGATAATCTATGCCCCAAGATGGAAATGGTGAAGTCGAAGAAGGGAAGGGAAGAGTTGGAGATGGACCACATGAATGTTAAGGAGGGGTGGAAGGTGGAAGCGAAATTGGTGAATTTTTCCAGCTCACTGCGAGACCAAGAAGCAGCCATCGATGTACCTGAGGAACAGGTCAGGGAGCGGACCTGGATAGGCCCAGAACAAAGAGTGTTCCAGGTGGCCAACAAACAGACAGGCGCAGCTGGGACCCATGCGGGTTCCCATAGCGACACCTTTTACTTGGATGAAGTTGTTGGAGTTGAAGGTGAAGTTGTTCAATGTCAGACGCCAGGGGAGGAGGGTGGTGGTGGATGGAGACTGGTTAGACCGCTGTTCGAGGTGAAAGCAGAGGGCCTGCAGGCCGTCCTAGTAGGGGATGGAGGTGTAGAGGGACTGAACTTCCATTGTGAATAAGAGACGGTCAGGGCCCGGGAACTGGAAACTGTTGAAGTGGCGGAGGGCGTTAGAAGAGTCACTTACGTAAGTTGGTAGGGCATGGGACAAGAGGAGCAAAAATGGAGTCCAGATACGAGGAGATCAGTTCGGTGGGGCAGGAACAGGCTGAAACAATAGGTCTTCCGGGACAGTCCTGTTTGTGGATCGTGGGGAGAAGGTAGAGGCGGGCTGCTCGTCGCTGGGGGGTTATGAGATTGGAGGCTGTGGGAGGAAGCTCTTCAGAGGAGATGAGGTCATTGACTGTCGCGGTGATGATGGCTTGGTGTTCAGTTGTGGGGTCATGGTCCAGGGGGATGTAGGAGGAGTCGTCAGAGAGTTGGCGTTTAGCCAACTCTGTTTTTCATGGTTAGGTTAAGGCAAACTAATGCAGAAAACTTTTCCAGCTAGCCTGAGTTAGGTATGTTCTGAAAGCACTCGAAGAATGGGTATATAAAAAGTTTTTAAAAATTGACTCCTAAATATAATGAATTTTGAAAACAACTCAAAAATTGAAGAGATAACTTTGCTTTGAATACATTCCCTTCATATTTCTCCTGTCATCCTTCCCTTATCTGAAAATACTAAGTTCCTACTGAGGTATCATTCTACAGGCAGAATAACTTCCTAATGACTCATCCAAGAAACCATTCTTCATATGTGAGCTCAGTGTATTGGAACTGTATTCAATTAGGAGAAGAGAAGAACATTACATGAACATTTTTTAGAAAGAGTTATGAGATAAAAATTGAGTAGGAACTCTAGATAATTTTCCCCTTCCTAACCCAAGGGCACAGAAACCAATTGCAGCGCCCCCAAACTATTGCTCCATCTGAGATTGATTTCTTCAGCAACAATCAAAGCTGCAAGCTTACATTATTATGGTGTAATAAGGCACCAATCATTACATTTACTGAATGGCCATCAGTGGAGCTAAAACTTCAGTATTAAAAATTGACTTCAATGAAGAACTTCCAAAATCAATATGCTGACAGAAATAAGCAATAGTTACACATGACTGCTCTTTAAGAATATGAGACATTCACAGTTAAGTAAATGACAATTTTTTAAAATGGTGAAAATTTCATAGGTTTTAATTTTATTAAAAGAAACATTCCAAAATATCAAACAGTATGCAACAAATAGTCAGCATTTGGAATACAATTAGTATGCATTTTAGTGCTTAATCTACTTGATAAAATATGAATTTACTACAAACTGGTCTAATATATGGAAATACATTAAAAATGTTACCAACCTTCAGTCAAGAATATTACATTAAAAATGTTACCAACCTTCAGTCAAGAATATTAAATGAGTTAAATTATAAAGCGATGTTTTAAAATATTTACACAAAATAGCTCTTTTTTTTCAAGTTACTAAAATTGTTCAGCTGCATTTCTGCAAACCTTTAACCACTAAAAAATTTTACTTCTTACAGAAGTCACAAATGTGAATGTTAGAAAAAGCATGTTTACGTTTCTTCCGCAATTTGTATTTGCCAAAATAATTTCCTCCTAATTTGTACAGTCTTATGTCAGAACATTCAGCTTTCCCCTGCATTTATTCATTTTTGATGTCAGTTGACTACCACAATGGTTTATTTTTGCATCACTTTTACCAACTCACTTCTCCAACAAATTGCAGCTTGTAGTTCTCTTCCTGCCATGTTAAATTTTTTTGTCCACCGCTCCTGGCCTGAAGAAACGTGCTAGAATATATTTCAAGCAGCCACTGGGATTGCGCCAATGTATCTATTGTTCCTGTATGAGTCTAGGCCACAAATGTCAGCAGGCTACTTGACATAAAAGGTATCACAACCAGCCAATCATCTACATCCAATATCCAGTTTTTATAGCACTGGTTCCAGATAGTAATTAGAAGTGGAAACCAGGATTATTTTTTACCCTCAGCAGTCTAGATATATTAAGGACCATGGTAGCACCCTACTATCACGACAGCTGAGATAGTTGGAATTTATGCAAGTGGGCAAGAGCGCAAATAGGATTTCCATAAATTACAAACAAAAACGGTCCCACAATGAATTACTTGTGTGTTGTTCCTTTGTTTACATTGAGCCTGTTTACGCAAAAAGACAACTCAGGACCTTCTCAATATCTGTAACTTTCCTCAGCAAGACACGCTATATAGGATTTCTTTCTCCTTTTTTCATGTTCAAGTCTTTGCTTTCACCTACTACACTTTCCTGAATGGTGGTAACATCATTCCAGTCCCTGGTGGCTTCCATTAAGTGACGTTGTCCATGAGCAATCCATTCTTCCTGATTGCAAAACATTCGTCCACAAAACCAACAGTGGAATTTGATCTGCAGAAATTCATTTTGAACATTTTTCACTATTTGATAATTATTTTTATGGATCTTTTTTAATTTCATCTTCAACATGTGTCTTTCTTTTACCGGACTGACTACCCTACAGTTCTTCCTTTTGTCAATGGATTTGCTTCGGTTTCTTAGCTCCCGTCTTTGGTGTTTCTCTTTTAGCCTAAGAGAAATAACAGTTCTTTGAGATAAAACCACCTTGAGAACATGTCCTTTATACTTGCCTATAGTTTGCATTACATTAATTACCTCTGATGCATCCACATCTGGATGGTTTAACACAACTACGGGCTGATTGCGACGAGGACATTTGACCAACTGATCTTCATTAAAGGGTCTGAGCCTCAGTCTGCGGGCTGTTTTCAATAACTCATGGCTACCAGCAAAAACAGGACAAATATCCCTTTTTTGGGTCTTTTTTAATGTGACATTATCCTGCACCTGATCAAATTTTCTTTTTCTCATATTCCTGCGATTCAGGGGCATTTTCCTCCCAGATTTTAACAGTTGAGATTTATGATGAGCAACTGTCTTAACTGAAGCAGTGCCACATACAGTTGAATTTGGACCCACTGTGGAAACAAAAGATTGATCACAGAGGTTGGTTTCTTGGGCTTTTGCTTCAGCTGAGCGATTGTTTTGTGATTGAGTTTTGGCAGAAGCTTTTTGCTTCTTTGTCATAGATGGTGTTTTCAACACTGATTTTGCTGCCATGCTAAATGTCACTGGTGTGGGACACAATACTCTGTGAAGGTTTTTTAACTGAGGGAGGGATTGGCAATGTACAGTTGCAGCAGTTATTTTCTCCTGCTTGGAGTCATCAACAGGATTCAACACTTTAAGTACAATACCACTGGGAACAACTCTGTAGGTAGTTCCTTGTTTAGAATTCCCAGGGCCTAAAATACGCTTTACTAGGAAATGTGAAGATGCATTGTCAAAATCAATACAGCATTTTGTAGAACTCAACAGTCGTGAAACACATGAGTTTCCAGAGCTGGACTGCTGATGTGGATTTGATACCTTCTGTCCCTGAACATAATTTACAGATCCATTTTCAACTGTGCTCTGTGATACTAGAATCTTTGTGGCGTGTTCAGGTTGTTCAGAGACGTTCTCTGATACTTCAGATTTAAGTTTACTTTGTTCAATGTCAAGAGGTATGATAGACGTAGTTTTGTTTATGCTCAATTGACTTTTGTTATGGTTACTTTGGTTACATACAGCAGATGCGCTTGACAATATAGAACTTTGTTGTTTTGCTCTGGTTGAAACGGTGATCTTTTCTATGAGCTGCATGGTTTCATCAAAACTGTAAGACTCTTCACCAAGTTCTTGAACAGTATGATTAGAAGCAGAATTGGCACTTGTGGAACCTGCACTTGGAATATAATTTGAAACAAATGATGAAATATTACCTTGCAAGCTAAGCCCATGGACGGATGAGGATGCTACCCCAGTTTTGCCTTCTTGTACTTCCTCTGGAGAAGAGCAAACATTCCGGAAAAAATAATTTCCTCTTGAATTTGGAATTGTTGTTGATTCAGAATTGTTTGAAAGTGGCATTACCAATTGATTTTCAATTGTAAAATGTGGATTTACTGAAGATAACTTGTGTGGTTTCAAACCACATGGCGAAATTCCACAAGGCATTGATGCAACTAAAGTGGTGTCGCTATAATTAGGTGAAACTGAAGCTATCCCGAGTTCACTTACAGTTGAAGATAGAGTCCTCGGCATTACTTTGTTTTGAAAAGTTCCAGGTTCTGAGGACAGAAGTGGAAATGTTTTAAGACCCAAGACTGAGGGGCAATTAGTTTCATCGTTTCGGGTGACAGTGCTTAATGGAATCACATTGGTATCAGACATATCACTGGTTTCTATTCTCTGTACAATGCTATCCATTTTTGTAGCACACTTCCCTTCTGTACTGCTTGTGACAGAAGATCCCAAGGAGACATTAGAACTGCTTGATTTTTTAGAATATCCACTTGATATATGGGATACATCCCTGTACACACTGACATTATCAGGTAACTGTTGGGAATGACATGGAGAAGAATGATCATCAATTTCCACAGGTGATATTGGAGACGGGAGAGATGGTTGTAGTGAAGAATGTTCAGCTAAGATGTTACTGCCATTGTGCAGGTGAAATGGGTTTCCATTTAGCATTGTTACTAATTGAACCGACGTTGTATTGAGGTCTATATTTCCACATGTTGACACACATGGTGGATTTTTTTGACTTGGCTCTCCAAAATGGTAGTTTTTGTTCAGCTCCTTTTGCCCAGAATTAGTTATGACATTCTCAGCCTTTGTCTGAATAGCGTAAAAGTGATCAACTGGTTTTACAGTATGCTCAGATGATGCAAATAAGCAGTTTCTTTGATATTCCTTTCCATCTCCATTTTTTACAAACTGGGAATCTGATTTAGTTTGCAAATTACTACCTATTGATGTTTCTTGTGCAGAATTGGATGGAGAGCAAGTATTCTCGTGCTCATTATCCCATCGAATAGCTTCTGGCACATCGTTAGAACCACAGCTAAGAGAAAATACAGAAGAAATGATAGGCCATTGTATACTGACAGAAGGATCATCAATAGTCTCAGCTCTAATTAAGTCACACTGGTTTCTAAAATCAGGAACCACCTCTGCATTTATTGCTGCATCTTGTGATCGAGATACTTTGGAGTCCTGTGCAGGCTGCATACTGGAAAGAGACAATGAGTGTTTGTTTTCAGTTTTGTCACCCACAGGCACTAATAATTCATTCAAGAATGTAGATATAGATGACCCATTTGCATAAACATCTGCTGTACTTTTTGGACTCTGACTTTGTGCCTGTGTAATCAAAATATGATTGCAGCTTGATTTAGTTTTATCTGTACTGTCATTAATTTGTTTGTGCTTAGATGCATCAGAGTCCTGAACGGACAAATATAGCTTATTCCTGCTGTTGACCCCTAGCTCCAATGCAGGATACGGATTGTTAACACACTTCACACTACAATCCTCAGAATTGAATTGAGTTATGTTACTACATTCCTTTAAAGCAACAGAACACTTACTGTGAATTTTAGAACTATTGCAAGTTTCCATACCAATAGATTGCTCAGTAAGTCTTTGCTTTTTTGAATAATCTGTGTGAAACATCTTGTTAGATATAAATCCAGTCTGTTCTATACATAAATTAGGGGTAATTTGCTTATCACTATTTTTAGCAGCCCGAGTTGTGCAGTTGGTGGATGACTTAGTCTGTAATTCTGAATCTTTGTCAACAGTGAGTAAAGTACGAGGAGATGTGATGCTAAGTTGCATATTTTGCTGAGTCCTATACGAGGGGAATGATACAACTGCTTTGCTAAAACTTTTACAACTGTCGTCTTTTGCTATTTGAGCATTACAAAAAATCATTTTAGTTTTATTTGTCACATATACACTTTCAGCAAATGGTTTTGTAAATGAACCTTTGCCAGAGGTCATTTTTCCATAATTGCTGTGTTCTGTAACTTTTTCCAGTTGTTCATAAGCAAGACCTTCATCTTTTAGCTGATTTTCACTAGACTCTCTTATTGAAGTTAGATTTTCTTCTCTTCCATTTGTTTTTGAACTGTCTTCACTTCTACACTCTAATACACCCTTTTTGTTTGATACCGATTCTGCATCAATCGTAGAGAGTGGCCTTGAAATGATAAAGTTAGCATTTAGGCCCATTCTATTCTGTTTAGTATCTGCAATTTTATTTATAGGATCTAACTGGAGCAGTTCATTTGTGGGATCCACATGGTTTGTCAGCAGTGTACATGATTGATTTAAGACTCTGCGATTCTGCGGTTGTACAATGTGGGCATTATTCAGTTCTTGTGATGGCTTTGCAATCACTCCAGATGCATTAGCTTCTAACATAGGGACAGCAGTCGATGGTATTATTTTGAATACCAATTGTTGTTTCTCATTAACTGTTTTTATTTCTATGAGCTGAGCCAAGCAGTTGGAAGGAATAACCATCTGTGCTGGAGCAACCAGAGTTAATGGAGCACCAGGTTGGACTGTGTGGTTGGAAGATGTCTGCAGCTTCAGCTGGACTTTGCTGGCCTCCATAGAAGAGCAATTCAAAATATTAGTATTTTCTACCATAGAGTTTTCCAAACTTACAATATCACAGGTGTTCACACAAGCTTCCAGAGAAGCAGCATTATCCAAATCCTTCATTTCAGAAGATCCATTAATAGATTTCAGTCCTAAAGGCAATGAAAATCCCTCCAGATTCTGAAAACCAACATTAGCCGAATTCTCACTTTGTTCCATTGCTGTTCGTTTAACTTTCAATACATTCTTCATTTTGGAGACAGCTTTCTTCTTGCTGCCTTTTCTCATTGGTAGTACAAGTACAGACCCACCGNTTTTTATGATGTCACGATGTACACCCTTAGTGTGTTTTACAACATAATCCTTTCGGACTGCACCATAATCACAATACCTACATTTGAAGGGAAATGTTCCTGTATGTTGCACGGAGTGGCGCTGAAATTCTCCCCTCGTATAGCAGACCCGTTCACATCGTCCACACTTGTACTGAATTTCTTCATGTCTCAGAATATGTTTTTGAAACTGTAATGGATCTTTTGTTGAAAATCTACATTTATTACAATACATTGTATTGGGCTTCAAATGTCTCCTTTTTGGTAGCTTTCCCTCTACAATTGAGGATTGATCTTCCTTATTTTCACTCTGCATTGTATTCAATACGTTATCCATTTCATGCGAAATTGCATGTGCATTCATTTGTTCTGCATCATCAATAGTAAACCCACATTGGCTACAAACAAATAAAGGCTTATCTTCAGGATGGTTTTGTCGGCAGTGCTGTTGTAATTCTGTAAAACTAAATTGCTGGATATCTTTACATTTAACACAAAACATTAACATTTCATTTATGTCCTTTCTGTATCCTTCAAAATCACCACATATCTCTGTTGGCTCTTTATTTTTACCCAAATGCTGGTTTGAGGCAAAATGTTGTCTCTTTGCGCTAGAATGATCCAAAGTAGACTTCTTCAATCCTGCAGTCTTCCTTGCAGTCTGCCTTCTTCCAGTACCAGATTTCATAGAGACGTTTGACGCAGCATTGGCAAAACTCTCTTTCCCTGCAATATCTTCCATTTTAGGCAACAGCACTCGTAACCATTTCAGCTGCATTTTGTTTAAAAATGCTTCGCAATTTCAATACTCTTCAAGCAATTTGATTTCTGGAGATGTATTTCTTCTTCTTATACATCAACGAAACCCTTTCCCAATATCAATATCAATTTCGATATAGAAATCTAGTTCTGCAATTCTCAAGTAATCAATAAGTGAAAGCAGATTAAAAGCAGATTTTCATCACTTCCAGTTACTGTTGTGCACTTCCTCAAAAAGCAGGAATAGAAAAAAAGGATTTCCTCTCTAAATTAAAACTGCATGTATTCCTTGGAAACAAGTACCATTCGAGAGCAGCTTACACAGGGACAAGAGGCTCCTCAACCTATAATGAGAAAGAAATATCAAAGTTACTTTTAACTCCATAATTTATAAATATATGCCCATAGTTTATGAACGTTGTTTATGAAAAGTTAGTTCCATCATTTAATCTAGAGCCACCCAACTCTTCCAAACAGCAAGGTGTGAGACAATATTGTGCCATGCCTGGATTGACTGGATCCAAAGGAACTCCTATGTCAATCCAAAGTATGCTAAAGCGCTAATGTTAACTAAATGAAGTTGCTCTGGAACAGTGCGTCTCCTCCTGGTAACAAAACTTTGAGGAATAGAGTCCCATGAATGTATCCCAGTAGGTATAAGAATTTGTTACGAGTACTTTTCTTTTGTTTCCTGCACTCTCATCCTTTCCTCTTCCTTTTAAAATTTGGCACTTTAACCTTACTGTTACCTATCTTTTACTTAAACTGGAGTAATAATAAACCTTGCATTCAATTTAGTGCTTTTCACATCTTTTAAACATCTCAAAGCGCTTCACAGAATATACTATAAAGTGAATTGTCTGTATATTTGTGAGCGAAACGTGGCAGCCAATTGTAGACAGTAGTGTCCCACAAAGAGTCATGGATTATTATTGTTTTTGAAGGATTATTATCCCCGGAAAAGCGATCCTCCAATCGACTAACAACCAGGTTCCTACTAAATGCTAGGTAAACAGAGGTGTGTGGAGTAAGGAAACAACAACAACAACAAGATTTCATTTATAGAGCACCTTTCATGTCGGGAGGACGTCCCAAGGCGCTGGACAATTGGTTCGGGACCCGAGCAGGGGGGGAAAAGGTCAGGGTGAGGGGAGGGAAGGAGCGAGGAGGGGGTAGAGAGTCGAGAGGGGAGCTGAAGGCACGGTTGAAGAGAAAGGTCTTGAGACCGGCCTTGAAGGAGGAAAGGGAGGAAGCAAGGCGAAGGCACTGGGGGATGGAGTTCCAGGGCCTAGGGGCTGAGAGGCTGAAGGCCCAGCCACCGATAGTAGAGCAGTTGGGGCGGGGGATGTGGAGCATATCGGAGCCAGAGGAACGGAGGGTACGGGCAGGTAAGTAGGGGGATAGTAGGTCGGAGAGGTAGGAGGGAGCAAGGCCGTGAATGGCCTTGTAGGTGAGGATGAGGACTTGAATTCAATCCTCTGGGGGATGGGGAGCCAGTGGAGTGGGAGTGATGTGGTCGTGAAGCCTGGTGCGGGACAGTACACGAGCTGCAGAGTTCTGAAACTTGCCCAACAACAAGATTGCATTTATAAAAGGCCTTTCACTTTATAAATACAACAACAACAACAAGATTCCATTTATAAAGCGCCTTTCACGTCAGGAGGACGTCCCAAGGCGCTGCACAGTTGGGTCATGACCGGAGCAGGGGGGAAAATACATTTCACCCTACCCAGGAATCAAAACCACTTCTCAACTTCTACAGTTGTTAAACATTTCAGGTTCAATGGAAAATATCATGTCTGACATGGATTCCACCCTTCATATATGAAAATAATGTCCAGCGAACAGCGGATAAAGAAAGTCTGAGGCTTGGGTGACAGCTACTGGAAGGTGTTACCTTGAGTCCAGTTTGTGAATGCATGTCCATCTATTCAGGGCTTGGCATCCACCTTTATTGGTAGGCAGAGGCCACACCTTAACTTGGTGGAATCATCGTTCAATGGGTAGGATGTGTATCTGAGCTGCGGACAAGAAGATGATGATAATTCTGGCTCTCACATATTTCATGCTGAACTATGCTACTCACCATGCAGCTCGCAGGAAATTCCTGGTACCTGCCATCTACTTAGTGGGGGCTAAAACCTGCGCTTGTTGGATGTCAAATAACCAACTAGTATCTATCCTCCGGGGGGTGGGGGGGTGGAGGGGAGTAAGCGGGGTCTCGTTGCAGCTGAACTTTCTCCAAGGTGACATGGCAAAGAATGTCAGAATTGAGTCACATCTTTGTGACAGCCTCAGTAGTCTGATTCCTGAACCAGGTGGGCCCACAAACGACAGATCAGCCAGTCTACCTCATCAGCAGGACATTGAGGTTCCCACTCAGTTCCAGTTAACCCTCAAAGCCAAAGCCCTAATGGGTAAGTGGTTCTAGCTCGGACAGGCAGGAAACTTGCCAGACAGTGCTTTCAATGGCAAGCTATACAATTTTAGCTGGTTAAACTCCAGTAGTATCCCAATGCAACACTCTAGGATCCCCAAGCCTTGCCAATTTGCAACTACATGTCTCCAAGATAAGATAAGCAGTGTGCATCCCTCCAGGGAGAGTGCATATTATATTCCAGACACAGAAACTTCCACATGGAAGTGGCATGCATTCAACTTTCAGTCTAGGTTGGGCACTGATAAGCATAGTCATAGGTTGACACCAGGCTGACCACGGGAAAAAAATGAGATCTTTGACACTGATATTTTGGTAACAAAATTTAACCAGAAGTCATTTTAGATAGCAAGCAAAATATTAATTTTCATTTGAACTAATCTTGTGATCATATGGGTGGGTATTCTGGAAGGATGAGATCAGATGGGCCAAAGGGACTAATTTTGTGATTTGCGAGTTCGCAAAGATCAGATAAGGCTAATATTGTGAGATGAGACTTTATGATTGTTTATATACTGTGAATAACAAAAGACAGCAGAACACGTTATTTGCTACAATTAAAATTAGAAAATCTATACCCTACACTGGCCTATGGCCTATGTTATCTCTGAGTCGTGTACAAGGGTTTGCAATTTTTTCAAATCATCTTGAGAGGTTTGGATGAAGAAGGTCCTTTAGCTTATTTGATCTTTTCTTTCAAGAATATCTTTGTTCCTATTATAACATCAGCCATTTTTTTTAAAAAATGCATCCAGAATCTTAACCTAAACTATTCTTCTAAATAACCTGTTCCAGCCATTGGTTACCCTCTGTATAAATAAATAATTCTAACTTCAAAAATACCAACTTAACCTGAAACCCAATGTACAAATGTTGGTTCCAAATCTTATCCTCATCCACAAAGGAAGCTTTGCTCTTCTTTGCCACACAATTTCTTCCTCTGGTTCACTCGGTGATGCCTGTCTCAAGCCTACTATGGAAGAAGATTACTGGTTCTTAAAGAAGACTTATCCTGCTCTTTTACTGACTTTGTGCGCGGGGGGTGGGCTTTGTGCATGGGGGGGGGTGGGCTTTGTGCGTGGTGGGGGGTGGGCTTTGTGCATGGGGGGGTGGGCTTTGTGCGTGGGGGGGTGGGCTTTGTGCGTGGGGGGTGGGCTTTGTGCGTGGGGGGGTGGGCTTTGTGTGCGGGGGGGAAGGTAGGCTTTGTGCGCGGGGGGGGAAAGTGGACTTTGCGCGCGGGGGGGTGGGCTTTGTGCGCGCGGGGGTGGGCTTTGTGCGTGGGGGGGTGGGCTTTGTGCATGGGGCGGTGGGCTTTGTGCGTGGGGAGGGGGCTTTGTGCGTGGGGAGGGTGGACTTTGTGCATGGGGAGGGTGGACTTTGTGTGTGGGGAGGGTGGACTTTGCGCGTGGGGAGGGTGGACTTTGCGCGTGGGGAGGGGCGGGCACTGCGCGCGGGGGGGAGGGCTTTGTGCGCGGGGGGGGAGGGCTTTGTGCACGGGGGGGGGGGAGGGCTTTGTGCTTCCCACTCCCCCGCGCTCCTGTACAGAACGTCCACACCGGCCCCAGCCGAGGTGCTTTACTGGTGGCAATGGAAAACCAGAGAGCAGTTCAGCCCAGCCCAGCCCACACCAGCCCAGCCCACACCAGCCCAGCCCACACCAGCCCAGCCCACACCAGCCCAGCCCACACCAGCCCAGCCCACACCAGCCCAGCCCACACCAGCCCAGCCCACACCAGCCAGCCACACCAGCCCAGCCACCAGCCCAGCCACCAGCCCAGCCCACACCAGCCCAGCCCACACCAGCCCAGCCCACACCAGCCAAGCCCAGCTAAACCGAGCCCAGCTTAGCCTAGGTCAGATAAGCCGAGCTCAGATCAGCACAGCCCAGCCTAGCTCAGATCAGCACAGCCCAGCCTAGCTCAGATCAGCACAGCCCAGCCTAGCTCAGATCAGCACAGCCTAGCTCAGATCAGCACAGCCCAGCCTAGCTCAGATCAGCACAGCCCAGCCTAGCTCAGATCAGCACAGCCCAGCCTAGCTCAGATCAGCACAGCCCAGCCTAGCTCAGATCAGCACAGCCCAGCCTAGCTCAGATCAGCACAGCCCAGCCTAGCTCAGATCAGCACAGCCCAGCCTAGCTCAGATCAGCACAGCCCAGCCTAGCTCAGATCAGCACAGCCCAGCCTAGCTCAGATCAGCACAGCCCAGCCTAGCTCAGATCAGCCCATGTCAGCCCAGCTAAACCCAGCCCAGCTCAGCCCAGCGCAGCCATCTTCACACAACTAATAAAAGTTACAGTCCCCGATTCAACAACCAGAGAGAGGAAGAGGAGAGAGGTCGATGGAGAGAGAAAAAAACGTACCCAGTGTTTGCAACCCTCAGATACTAAACACAGTTCACTTCCCAGGTGTTGATTTTAGGATTGTTATTGGGTACAATAAGAGTGCGGGGGCTGCTGTCAGCTGCTCCTTTACTGCATGTGTTCAGCTGGGATGTGATGAGCGCCCCCCCCCCACCCCCTCTCTCTCTCTCACACACTCCCTCTGTCTCTCACACTCCATCTCTCTCTCACACACTCCCTCTCTCCCTCTCTCTCACACGCACACTCCCTCTGTCTCTCACACTCCATCTCTCTCTCACACACTCCCTCTCTCCCTCTCTCTCACACACACACTCCCTCTGTCTCTCACACTCCATCTCTCTCTCTCACACTCCCTCTCTCTCTCTCTCACACACACACTCTTCATGGCCACACGGCGATCACTTTCACATCACCATCCACCGACAACTCCCATCGGTTGTCAGCAACAGAGTAGAAATCTACCGACAGCCAACAGCAAACCGACAACTGACACCAACCCCATCACACAGCAACAGGTCTACATCTAATACTCACCCCATCACACA